CATCTTAGACATGGCCTCGGGACACCAATTCCTGACTCTCAGCCTTTTTGCTCCTGCCTCCAATTCCCCATCTCCACAGTTCCCAGCTCATAATCTTGAGAGATTCTGAGTGATTCTGGAATCTTCATTACAGTGGCTTGGACAGATGTTCCGAGCTAAAACAGTCCTTCTGGGTCTTTCCCATATATAAGGAAGTGGTATGGGCTGTGGGCACAGCGCACTCCTTGATCAATTTATCAAATGTCACAGCCTTACCACATTAATTGGCAAAGTCAAATCAGCACCAGTGACAGGGTACTGAACAGATTCAAACGGCAGTAACTATTGCCATAGGGGAAAGAATTCTGCACAAAGTGAATTCTCTCTTGATTTGGACACAGGTGACATGTGTTAAAGGATGAAGAGGGGCCGAGAAGGAAGTGAAGGGCTTGGCGGGGCCAGGAAAGTGGAGTTACAAAAAGAGGGAAGTGGGCTAGTTCCAGGACAGCCCATATGGGCTTGGCAACTGATAGTAATCAAAGCAGGCTGCTCTTGTTCAAGGGAAAGATTCTGGGGACAGAGGTCTTATGTAGGCAAAGTTTCTGTTCATTGGACACCACATGTAGATAGAAGTCTGTCCTGCCCAGTTCCATAGCCATTTAGTCCCAAATAAACACACAGGGGCTTATATTAATTATAAACTGTTTGGCCAATGACTCAGGCTTCTTACTGGCTAGCTCTCTCTTAAGTATTAACCCATTTCTATTAATCTGTGTATTTCCATGAGGTCTTGACTTACTGGTGCTGCCTGAATCTCTTGCTTCCTTGGCAACTACAGTCTTGCCATTAGTGCTTGCCTAGGAGACCTTCAGGCTGCTCCAGGAACTTACTGTCAGATCTGACAGCACCTTTAAGGCGGGTTGTGGTGATTCTGGGGCATTGACTTAGAGTTGTTGGAAATGATATCTATGTCTTCTTGAAGTCCTTTTAGGTCCGGGTTGATGTCCAGTCAGGAGGAGGGTTCAAAGGTGCCTGGCTTGGGTTTCACCATGAGGAGACCGTTTGCCACTGATCCTGTCACCAGGCTGGGAAATGACAATGTCAGTGAAGGAGTGGGGCAGATGTCCTCATGTATCAGATCAAAAGGGTGCTAACTGCCTGCCTTGATGGGCCCTGCCCATCCAGCTCCTCCCAGACATACTCCTCTCTTCCCTGACTGGGCTGCTGCCTCAGACGCACAATGACCATGCTTAGCAGGGCTGGCCTAGGATTGCCTCACAACACTGTGTCTGAAAATGATGGGATCATACACCTGTGCCTCTGTCTCTAGCTGGCTGGGCCCTGAAAGTTAAGATGGGTCCAAGAGAGGGACAGGAATCCTGAAGTACTCAGATGGGCTTTCTGGCCCTGCTCACTCATGAAGACACACATCCACCCATGCAGCCCTACCTATCAAAACGGTGTAGTGCTCAAAGCTAGCCTGGACCAACAGTGAGCATCCAGGGCTGTCATTGCAAGGGAAATAGTGTGAGCACATGTAGCCTGAGGATGGCAGCTTCCTAGAGCAACCTCAAGCGGAGTCCTCTGGTCTGAGGCCCTGCCTTGGGCCTCCAGAGTTAACTGTCACCAGCTTCCCTTGGTGGGATGACCCAGTGCTGGGAGTGAAGAAAAGAGGTGCTCTGGGAAGAGGGAGGCCTGACCTCCATGGGTGTGGGGGGGACGTGGGAGTTCCTGAGTCTCCTGCCATTGCTGGCACCTTGTGGTCCTGTCCTTTTCCCCTGAGTGATTCGAGGTGGAAAACAATGCTTTCGTTTCCACAGTCCTTTGGCATCAATTTTATCCTAGGAATGTGCTTGGGAGTCCCAGAGGTGCATCTGGGTAGAGAACTAAAGGAGCAGTTGGAAATGCATGTACTGACCTATTATAAGAGATGAATAGGTAATGCACAGCACAGGAACCCACTCACCAGGCTTTCCTCCAATGCTGAGGCTGGCGTGTCCCTCCCCTGCCTAGCGCAGCAACACATTCACTTCCAACATCACTCAGCAAACCTGTGCCCCCAAAGGATGTGGCAGTCATCACAGTTTACCCATAAGTCTCCAGGGAAGCTGGTGTGTTTCTCTGAATTTCTAGCAACGCGTGATAGCCCCAGGTTAATTAAAGTAACTTTCCTGGGTTTCTGTTCTGTCATCGTCGTCAGGCAGATTAGCAGACCCTGCTCAGATCTCGGGAAGAATGGGTGGCTCTGAGAGAGGGAAGAGCACAGCACTGGCCCTGGGTTAAATGCCTGGTGCAGACCTCAGCTCTCCGGCTCACAGGGATGGCTTGGATAACTCACATCACCTCTGTGTCCAGGGCTCTAGTCCTTCATGTGTCACACGAAGACCTTATGCCATCCCAAAGTCTTGGCCATTTGGCAAATTCCATGCATTTCTGTCATTTGTGATGATTGGAAAAGCCCAGTGATGGTGTCACCATTAACTAAAATAGCTCCATGTGCTACGTGACAGGACATCTGAAGCCCATGGCTAAGCTGCCCCAAAATGCTGCTGGCCACAGTCTCAAGAAATGCAGAACTTCTTAGTCCAGACCCACTCGTTTCTCCATGGGAAGGTAATTCAGCAGTCTAGGAACAGGAGGCAGTTTCTAGGAGCTGGGGTAGCTAAATAGAAAGTCATAAACAGAGGTCAGAATCACTGTCACCCAGGAAATTTGTAGGTCAAACAATGAGCCTGTTGAACTGCAAGAGTGAGGTGGCCATGTGGCTTCAAGGGGCCGATTGCCTGCCCTGGTTACTTTACCAGTTTCTTCCAACCAGTGATGCTTCTGGACTAAGCCTTGGGGTGACTGCAGCCTTCTCAATATGAAAGGGAAGACCTCCAGCCCCAGGTACTGTAGGGTCCACAATCCCCAAGCCTAGAGCAGAAGGGAAAGGAACTGAGATCCAGCCTGTGAGCACCTCAGCTGAGTTTGGGAGGGTGGAGGCTACAAAGGGAAAGCTCTGCCCAAGAGCTGTGAGCTGCAGGCTGGGGACAAGCCATCAAGTTGGGGTAACTGTCCGCCATGTTTCAGATGAGGAACAACGGCTTAAGCAACTGGAGTTTTCCGGCTATGGAAAGGCATGGCAGGGAAGCTGTGGTGGGGAATGTATGTTGTCAGGACAGCAAAGCAAACTGGCCACATTGACATCAGCAAGCGGAAGAGTGAACAGGACATCACACCAGGCTTGTTTCCCACTTCCTCTAGAGGCTCCACCTCCTAAGAGTTCAAAACTTTCCAAAGAGTACCAAAGAGTACTACCAGGCTACCACAGTAGCCTGCAGGAACATTCCGCATTCAAACCACAACACTGGCTGAGGCTGCTACCTCTTAGGCATCGGATCTGGTTAAGGGGAGGCTGACATATTAAAGATGGGGTGGGAGCGTTTCTGGATATTGGGTGATTGTTTCATAGGAAAACTACCTGGGGCAGAAACTGCTGGGAAGAAGCCTGGTGGAAATCTTCTACTCACAGAAAACATAAATGTCTAAGTGAGATTATGACACTCTACTTGGGCTAGAGACAGATTCTTGGTGGAAGGCTTGGTGACCTCCAATAAGCTGATGGAAGTAGCCCTCCCCTCCCCCGTAGGCCTGGGAAAGCTGCCCCTGCACTGTAGCCTCCATGTTCCTTTGCAGGGCTCAGGAGGCCAAGGGCTGATTGAGGGAACTGCCTCTGGAAATGAGTCCCCGAATTGGGGCAGTCTGTACCTTAACCAGGATAACCTCAATGTCTGCGTCTCTCTTGTTCATCCTTCAAGGTGGCACCTCACCTCATTCCACCTACTTTCTTGTCTACACTTCTGAGATGAGGCCTTCCACACCTTCTACTCCTGTCTTCTATCCCTATCTACATACCTAACTCGGCCTGGAAATACATACATTGAGACAGGCTCTTACCATGCAGGCCAGGCTGGACTAGGAGCTAATGATACTCCTCCTTCAGACTCCCACGTGCTGGGATTACAGATGTGTGCCATGACACCTGACTTTACTGCTTGTTTCCTAGGCTTTTGTCAGCTTCCAGTGTCAGCTTCATGAAGGCACACCATTGCTCCACTGTACTCTAACAGATGCTTGGTCATCCGTTTGGCTGTGTGTGTAAGGGGACAGAATGATGCCAGGCTGTGCAAAGCACAGAAACTAAGCCAGGAATTCCCTGCACATCAGACTCACCCTCCTTGTCACATTCTAGCTTTTTCTCCTGCCCTCACCTGATCCTCAGTGCTGCCTGGCTTGCTCTGGAACCCATACCTCCTCCTGTCTCCTCTGGCCTCACAAGGGCCTCTGCTCTCAGCATCACTGCACAGCATGATACACACTCTCAAGTGGCCTGGTGTTGGCAGAGGCGAGGCTGGGGAAAGCTATAGCCAATCTGAAGTCAGGCCTCAGGCAGAAGCCTCACCTGGTTTTGGTGTCACTGGTTCCCCCTTACTTTCCCCAGGGAGTTTCTCTGGTCATACATAGCTTCTGGGTTCCACCTTCCCTCCACAGTTTCCTCTTCAGCATTTAACCATTGTGTCCCCATCCCCCACCCCCCAGTTTCTCTTGAGTGCTGGCAGGAGCTGGGTTTTCAGTAACTGTCAGGGGGTATCTAGTTGCCTGGTCCACAAAATGAATGGAAATTTCCTGGTCCAGTGAAATGAAACTCACACAATATGCGAAGAGAATTTTCTAGTCAATTTCGCCATGAACTTAAACTCTTTTTTAGAAATCAATTGGCAAGAAGGAAGCTGACAAAGACTAAGACTAAAGCTGGGCATGGTGGCATTCAGCCATAACCCAGGCATTTGGAGGTCAGCTGTCTCAAAACAAGGCAAAACAAACCAAACTAACAAACAAAAATAAGCATGTGGTGACCTCAGACCTCATGGTTTTAGCCCTAGCTCTCTCTTCCCTGTTTGGAAGGAGGGTCGTTGACAAGGCCTGGGTGGCGTTCTGGGATGTGCAGAGACAGGTAATAAAGGTGACTCTCCCGGCAGATGGCGTGGATTTCACAATGATTCGCCTGGTGAATGGCTCTGGGCCACACGAGGGCCGAGTGGAGGTGTACCATGATCGTCGCTGGGGCACCGTGTGTGACGATGGCTGGGACAGGAAGGATGGGACTGTCGTGTGCCGCATGCTGGGCTTCCATGGTGTTGAGGAGGTGTACCGGACAGCTCGCTTTGGGCAAGGTAAGGATAGTAAGGTACGGTACAGATTGGATGATGTGGAAGAGAGCCATGGGTCTGGCCTCTCCCTACTCTGTCTCAGTGTGATTGTCTGGAAAGAGACTTACAGATTCTGGAATGCTTTCCAGCCTAGGCCACTGGGATCTAAGATGCTGTCACTCAACTGTCATGAATACTTGCATTCCATTGTGCAGGGGACTAGGATTTGAGCTGATCATATCACAGCAGCTGCTGGGTGTGTCTGGCGGCCTGTGAATGGAACTATGTAAGGAACCAGGCAAGCTCACTATCTTGCCCAAGGCTTAAGCTTTCCGTTCCTCTGAGCTGAAATAGTTATAAGGACTGATAGTATAGCATGAGGAAAGGGGGTGGGTAGCTTGCCCTCTGCTAAATGGATTGTCCCTGAAGGTCCCCACTCCTCACAACTGCCTAGCTTCTCATTCTTGCTCTGGGGCTCATGTGCACAGTCCAGTCACACATTGGTCCTTGGTATCACCTGATAAGTGACCACCAGTTCAATACTCCTACATCCTGGCCTCTTGATTTTCCTCCTCCTCCTCTTTCTCCTCCTCTTCTTCCTCCTCCTCTTCTTCCTCTTCCTCCTCCCCCTCCTCTCTCACCCCTTCTCGAACTCTGCAGGCTGTCCGTGGAGCTCATTTCTACACGTGGGGCTTCAGTCATGACCCAGATCGTTCTCTCTGTCCTGGAATGTGCCCCTGAGCCTCAGACCCCTCGGTGTCCAGTTATTTCCTAGACAGCTGCACTCAGACACTTCACACACCCGTCAAATGGGCCACACTTCCTTCCTGTCAAACCCTTTACCTCTGCATGCCTACAGTTTTCTGTTAGACCCTATGTAAGCCAGACCCTGGGAACTTCCACCCTATATCACCCTCTCCTTACCGGTCCCATCCCCGAGTCTCACAGATTCTGCCAGTGTCCACCGGTCCAGGGCCTTTTGAATCTGCTCCTCTGCTTCCTCCTCACTGCCCCGCCTCAGACAGTATCCATCGGAGCAGAGGAGTGGTTAGCATAGACTCCTGGGCTTGAATGCACTGATGTCCCTGAGCACATTTCCTATGCCCTCTGAGCACCGATGCTTTCTCTTCTAAGGACGGGCTGCCGATGTTAGATGAGGTTGTGACAGCGCGGTGCAGGCACCATTGCCCATCTCTGTCCACTATTCTATTGAGTGAAGATGGCTGTCGGTTCATGGGGCCTGATAGCGGCTCTGAGCTTTTATGAGCTGCTGTCATTTGGACTGTCTCACCACAACCTATAGGTTGGTTCCTGGGCCTGCCTTTTCTAGCTGCCAGCAACCTGCCTAAGATGAGTGAGTGTTTGTGTTAACACATTCCTGAATCTTCTATGGGCCTTTATTGCTCTTGGGGTCAAATTAGCTTCCCTTGGTTCAGCAACAAAGTCCTTCTTTTTAACCCTCCCCCAGCCCACTGTTCTTTGAGACAGAGCCTCACTTAACATTCAGGCTCATCTGGGGCTCACCATACATCTCAGGCTACTCTCTAACAAGCAATCTTCTGCTTCAGCTCCCCCAGGTGAAGGGATTTCAAGTATGCCCCACTATTATCAAGCCCTGACCAAAACCCTTCTTAAGTCACCTCTTATCACTCCCCACTTGTCACAGGGTGCTTCTGTCATAGGGGTCTACTGTGTTTCTCAGAGACCGCCTGAGGCTGTTTGCTGGTACCCTGTCTCTACATGTTGTCTTCCCCCATCAGCTCTAAAAGTCAGCTCAGTTCTGTCTCCTGGAAGGAACTTTCCAAGCCCTCTGATACCTCAGCTCATGGTGAACACACTTTAGCTCCTGTGGCACACTCTGCATGTCTCTGTCATCCGTGCTGTTCACTGGTGTATTCTAAAAACACAGAAGAGAGTTGAGTGGAGAGCAGACCCTCGGATTATTTTTTTTTTTGATGAGGGAATGGTCATCTTCAACCTCGTGCTCTATGAGACAACCCCGGGCTGTGGTCTCAGTCTCACCCCCTGGTAAAAGAGCACCTGTTGCTTCTCACCTGTTCACCAGGAGGCATTCATTGTGCTGAGCCCTTTGACCCTGGGGAGCTTCATTGTGAACCTCAAGAGAAACAACCAGAATGGAGCTGACCCCAGCCTGAGAAAGGCTCCTCACACCTACATATATCCCTGGATCACCCAGGGCAAGATGAAGTCCTAACAAGTTCCCAGGCTAGTCCTGGGACCTCACCTTGTGTAGCCAGAGGGCAGCTCTAAGGCCAGGTGACAATGAGTACCTGGAATCTTCAAGGCACTGGCTTCTGTGACATGGGGTGAGGGGCACGGATGTCTGCTGCTTCCTTAGCAGTGCCCCATGTGCTCGTTGGAGCTGCAGTTTGGGGGCTGCTCCAGTGTACTGGCCTCCTGAGACTGGACACTAACCAGTCCTGGCAGAGCCCCAAGCCGAGCTTCCTGTGTCCACATCCTGCAAGTGCGTTTGGGATGGGCAGCCATGGGCCTGTTCTTTATTTGTCAGTCCCCTTTATTTGCTTTGGGTGTGACTAATCCCACAGAGCTCTTGGGCCCCTGCCGCTTTTTCCTGGGTAATTTGTGAAGTGATGTGTTTTCCAGGAGACATTTAATCTGGGAATCATTGCTGTGCCTTAAAGGGCTTAATTGTGTAAGAGCCAGAGAGAGGCTCTGGTGAAGACAGGGTCCAAGCAGACAGCAAAAGGAGGCCTCTTGTCCTCCCTCTGTCCTTGATTCAATGCATGGCCACCCTGTGATAGAGAACACTGAAAGTCTCCACGGAACATTTCTAAGAAGCTTGACCCACATAGTTGGTTTAGTCAATAGCACTGTGGCTTACATGGTCCCCTGAGCTTCTTTGTAAAGGGATGCTACAGGCCGATCTGGAATGGGTGACAGAGCTGAAGGTTTTCACAGTCTCAATGATTCCTCTAAAAAGAGAAGGATAATCTGGCTGTGGGGGCGGATACAGTGTGGAGGTCAGTTTCGGGTCCAACCCCTGAGTTACCTCTCCTATCGGCTTTCATGGATACCAAAGCCCTTCCCAATACATAAGCATCTTATCGACACAGCCAGAGACACTGGAACCTGGGTTAAGCCCCTCAATCTTGTGCTTTATGTTCCTTTGTTGTATTTTTTAATTATTGTGACTAAAATACCATACATAACCCACTCAAGGAAGGACAGACTTGTTTTAGGGCCTGGCTTCAGAGAGTTGCAGCCCATCCCCATACAGAAGGCATGGTTAACAGCTGCAGCTAATGATAGTGAGAGTTGGCCTCTCTTCCATTCTAGTGACTGAGAAACAGGGAAATCAGGCTGGAGCCAGCTGGGGTACATAATTTTCAAAGCCTGAACTTTAGTGACCTACTTCCTAAACAGGCCCTACCTCTTAAAGGTTCTACAGTTTTTTTCCAGAGGAAAAGGAAACAGATGCTTTAAATATGATCCTAGGAGGGAGGGAGGAAGGGAGGGAGGGAGGGAGGGAGGGAGGCAGACACTTCAGCTTCAATACACTACACATCATACATCATACACCTAACAGGTAAGTGTGTTGGGGTGACCAGCAGTCCAGGTTTGCCCAGGACTTACCAGGGCTCATAGGAAAGTCCCATGACCTAGGGCACTCCTCCCACTATGGAAACTGAAATGCACCCCTGCCCTGGTGCTGAGCCCCGGGTTGAGGCATGCTGCACGGCCTTGTTTTTGCTTCTGTCACCAGAGTTCTGCAGTAACAGAGTTGAGCCTCTGTGAAAGTGCAGGCTCTGCCTTAGCAGGACAGGGCGGGACCTGTGGTTCTGCGTATCTTACAAGTTCTGTTGATGCAAACACTCACAGTCCAGGGCCTCACTTTGAGTAGCAAAGCTACTGCTTCCATGAGGTCATGAACTTAGTCATCCTTCTAGAAGGCTGCCAGCAGCCAGAGCCAGGCATATCCATCAGCATAAAGAGCCTACCGGCACCCCCAGGCCCCCGCTGCCCAGCTTATCAGTAGGAGTGCAGGGTAGTTGGCACACCCTGCTTCCTTCTCCTCCACAGACTTCTAGGCAAGTCCTCTATTGACTCTGGAAGGTTATCCCAGCTGCTGTAACTCCTGATATTCATAGAATGATATCAGTGATAAGTTCACACCGTTCGGTGGCCTGATGCTCTTCTGTGACAGCCCGTTAAAGCACCAGGCTCTCCATATGTGGCCACCTTCAGACCAGCACACTGACCCATTACAGCTGACTGGACAAGACTAGCTGCCAGTCTTAGGGACTCCATATTTGAGGGCTAAGGATATCTGACTACAATGTTAGATTTGGGAATTCTTCATCTTTCTGGAACTGTTTTTGGGCTCACAGAATGGAACCATGTAGCAATGTTGGTGCTAACAAACTCTGGGACACTGGATAATACAGGAGCTGCCTGACATTACCCTTCTGATTAGGCCTTGCAACAAGATAGTGTAGCTCGGTGTCAGGACAAGTCAGTCATTAAGTGTGAGCCTGGGATAGCTGAGTGGGTAGCAAGATTTTGGTTGGAAATTAGACTTTGCCAGTTATAAGCTGTGTAATCTGATATCAATTGCTTTCTGAGCCTAAGTTCACTTACAGAATGTGTATCTACCCCAAAGTATTATGGTGAGGACTATGGAGGCTCGTATCTGTTAGAGGCCTGACTCATAGAAGATACAAATGCCAATATCATCTCTTATTGTGATTCTACCTATAGGAAGCTAAGCCTGTAATAAGGATGCATTCTCAGGAGAGCAGAGAGGGGAAAATGGCCTCCACCAGATTTGAGAAGTAGCTGCAGGGACAGCCAGGCCATGGTCACGTCATTTACAGGCATATTCCCTTTTCTCCTTCTATCTGCTTCCCGAATCACTGCTAAGAAGTGTGTGTGCCTCTCTTCACAGGCACAGGGCGGATTTGGATGGATGACGTGAATTGCAAGGGAACCGAGCTCTCCATCTTCCACTGCCAATTCGCCAAATGGGGAGTGACAAACTGTGGGCATGCCGAGGACGCCGGAGTGACTTGTACTGCATTCTGAAAGCAGGCACAGCCCAAGGCCAGGGCACTGCCGTGACCACATTCCCTTGTCTCTGGGGTTGGAGGATTGCTTAGAGCTACCTAACCATGGCTCATGCCCAGTTCAGCACCACCCCCAACCCTGCTGCCAACTGGTCCTACTCTGTTGTCATTCTCCTTCCAGACAACTGCTCCAAAGTGCTCAGTGGGACCTGCGTTCTCTTTCCTTTCCACCAGGGTGTCTACGTGTGGGCCCTGGTCACCACCAGTATGCTTAGCTATCTGATGACTCTCTACAAGGCCTAGGGATCTATGTTACAGGCGGTCTCTTGGTTACAGCTGGACGCTGATATGACCTCATAGGCAAGAGCAGCAATGGAGGTGGGAGGTGTTATGGGTCATTCACTTTGCAGATAAGTCCTAAATTCCAGTTTCACCATCCACCTCACCAGCAAGTAGAAACCCTTAATGATTCTGTTTCCCCTCTTCACACTGTTGGTTTGAGGAAGGGGCAGAGGAGAAGCCAGCTATAGGAGACACAAGAAAATACCAGTTACCAGAAGGAACCCGGCAGGAGCCGGGAAGAGAGGGGGATAACTACTTTGTGCTACAATGTATCTTGGGTGCTGAAACCTCTTGACCACTTTGCTGTGTTAATACCAGGTGTGTCAATCAGGGCAGGACCCTGCCTCCGGGTAGTGCTCACCTGGACCATTCATCTGACTCCCAAGCTAGAAGACAAAGAATGACCAAGACTGAGACCAGGTTCCTCCATGAACCTTGAATATAACTAGTACATATAAGATCAGACAGGATGGATTTTTTTTTTTGGTTTTTCAAGACAGGGTTTCTCTGTATTGTTTTGGAGGCTTTCCTGGAACTCAATCTGTAGACCAGGCTGGCCTCAAACTCACAGAGATCCACCTGCCTCTGGAATTAAAGGCATGTGCCACCAACGCTCGGCTCAGGATGGGTTTCTAAGTCAAACAGCCACACAGGAAAGCTTGTTTAGAGGTGACATGGGAGCTGTCCACATTAACCTGAGGCCATCAGTCATTAGAGACTGTGTCTTAGAGCAGTTGGTGATGCACCTTTCAGACCTCTTTAAATATAATCATGTGTTCAGAGGAAAACAGACCTGGTAAGTTTCCCAAGGGTAGAAGTGTGAATTCCCTATTACCTTCCCTGGTAAATGAGTTGCCTTGGGCCTCTTCAAACCTGTGAGACGCACTCCACTCCTGGCTACAAAGAGAACATGTTCTGTTGTTAACAGGAGGAGGTTGAACTAGATGGTACATGTGCTCTAGAATTGGGAGAGCTATGGTATAGCAATTGAGGGCAGACCTGTCTGGCTATAGTAGAGTCACAGACACAATCACATATCTTACAAGGTGAGCATCGTCTTGCTTGGGGTGAGGAAGACCTAGGTACCTCCAAGTATAGTTCCCCCCAAAGATCCTGGCTGGCTACTATGCCAATGTGTGATCTTGATCATTCTTGCTTTTGATATGCGTTATTTACTACTGTTTTCATGATCTGACCAACTGTTATGTTTACATAACATGCATGTACTCATGCATCTTCTTCCAGAGCCAATGTATGTATACCTGTATAAGCATAGCACCCTTTATTACACAGCTCAGCACATCACAGTGGTTATGTTTTAAAAGATATGCTAAAGGTTGTTATTTTTAAAAAACAAACAAAGATATTTTACGAATGTGTAAACATCACTCTGTTAATTCTGGGAATGAACCCTGTTACCCCAATGATGAAGACTCAGGTAACTTTTTCACTTAGTCTTTACATGGGGGAAACACAAGTTTGGTTTTATATCTATAAAAACGATGTTGAAAAGTATTTAACCATAAAAATAAAAGTCGACTAGTTTACAGACCTACCTATGAGGACATGGGAATGACCGTGGACTGTATTTCAGGGACTAATGGAAACTAGGCCTAAAATACTTCAGACCTTTTGTAAGAAAAAATTTCAATAAAGCAAACATTTGAAAAAGATGTCACTAGCAAGTGGTTGTATTTGTCAGGGTTCTCTAGGGTCACAGAAATTACGGAATCTCTCTCTCTCTCTCTCTCATATATATATGATTTAAAGGCTGCAGTCCAACAATGGCTAGTTATGAATGGAAAGTTCAGGAATCTGGCTGCTCAGCCCCACAAAGCTGGGTGCCTCAGCTGGTCCCGCTGGGGTTCCAAAGAAGGAAATGAATGTGCTGACAGAGGTGAGGGCAAGCAGGCGAAGGGCACCCTTCCTCCTTCCGTCGTCCATATGTAGCATTCCAACAGAAGGTGTGGCCCAGATTAAAGGTGTGCCTTCCTGCCTCAAGGTCTGGACCAAAGACAGGCTGTCTTCCTGCCTCAAGATCCTATCACAGGTGAGCCCTCCATTTCAGAACTACAGTCCATTCCAGATATAGTCAAGTAGGCAACCCGGAATAGCCACCACAGTGGTCCATCATACTCTTTTTCATGAGGAGCCAGGTAGTGTGGAGAAGGCAATCTGATTATTTTCCAGCATGTGCTGTACATTAAAAGACTCCTCCATGCTTCTAGAAGACATTCAACACACATGTCTAGACTGAGAGAATACCTAATCTGTTTCCTGTTGCTGTAACAGAGTATCTGAGACAAGGTAGATTTATAAAGAAAAGAGACCTATGTACTGAAAGTCCAAAAGTGGGCCTCCATTTCTGGCAAGGGATTCATGCTGCTTCAACCTTCAGCAGGCAGAAGGAAGAGGGCACAAAGGTCTGTGCCACAGAGACTAAGCATGGGGACAGGCTTGCTTTGGAACAAACCTGAACCACCATCACTAAACTAGGCCTGTGAAAAGGGGACTCTGGGGAGAAAGGCACTTACCTGCCCATTCATGAGGACTCCATACCTGTTACCCAGACACCTCCTCAAACTGCCACACTGAGGAGTCAAGGTTCCAATCTATGCATGTGTGTGGGACACACTCAAATCTCAGCAGAACCATGCTGTTTTATCCTCATTTGGTGGTCACCAAAGGAAACAGGTTCCAAGCAGCAGAACAACCCTCAGGACCCATTCATGACAGGATGGTTTTGAACTTCACTTGGTCTCTGCCAAAAGGAAGTGTTCATGTTTGTAGCTGACAAAGGAAAGGTGTCATAGTCACTGTTGTATTGCTGCAAAGTACCACCATGACCACAGCAATTCTTTTTTTGGGGGGGAGGGTTCTCTGTGTAGCTTTGGAGGCTGTCCTGGAACTCGCCCTGTAGACCAAGCCGGCTTTAAACTCACAGAGATCCACCTGCCTCTTCTGGGATTAAAGGCACACGCTACCAATGCCCTGCTCCACAGCAACTCTTATAAAGGAAAACATTTAATTAGGGCTGGCTTACAGTTCAGAGGTTTAGTCCTTTATCTCATGGTAGGAAGCGTGGCAGCATTCAGGCAGACATGGTGCTGGAGAAGGAGCTGAGAGTTCTAAATCTGGTTTGGCAGGCAGCAGGAAGAGATGGACACTGGGTCTGGCTTGGGCTTCTGAAACGACAAAGCCCACTCACCTCCCCCACCCCCATCCCCTCAACCTCCCCCACCCCCCACCCCCTCAACTTCCCCTAGCCCCCCACCCCTGTGACATACTTCCTCCAACAAGCCCACACCTACTCCAGCAATGTGATATATCCTAATCTTTTCAAGTAGTGCCACTCCCTATGAGCCTAAGGAGACCATTTTCATTCAGACCACAACAAAAGGACACTTGTGTTTTTCTTCCCACCTCTAGAATTCCTCCTAGGAACACGCCTCCCTTGGGATACCGAGGATGCTAAGGCAGCCCAGTTAGGTACTGAGTGCGTGCTTCCTGGGCTCTAACATCTGAAGATAGGCAGGAGTGTTCTAGACACAGAACCACAGCAGTCTGTGAGGAAAGGTCTGAGCCACACAGTCCTATAGCAGTCTTTGTCTTTGAGGTCACCAACCAGCTCCCAAATCATGACACAGAGGCTTATTAGTTATGAATACTTAACCTTAACTTATGCTCGTTTCTGGCTAGTTTTTTTTTCTTCTTCTTCTTTAGATTAACCTGTCTCTCTTCATCTACATTTTTTCTGAGGGCTTTTTACCTTTCTTTCTGTATGTCCTGCTGGCTGGTGGCTGCTGCCTGGATGTCTTCCTCTCTTTCTCCCTCATTCTTCTCTTCTCCTCCTTCTCCCTCTCCCCCTCCTTCTTCCTTTTATTCTTATTCCTCTCCCCCTTTCTCTTCCTTTCTCTCTCTCACCTATATTTCTCCTCCTATTTCTTCTCTTCCTGCCAGCCCCGCCTAACCCTCTCCTGCCTAGCTATTGGCCATTCAGCTTTTTATTAGATGAATCATGTGCCTTAGACAGGCATGGCGAAACAGCAACACATCTTTACATAATTAACCAAATGTAACACACCTTTGCACAGTTAAAGTAATATTATGTATCATAAACAAATGTAACACATCTTTGCCTAGTTAAAGTAATATCCCACAGTTCCCACACAGATGCTCATGGTGGCAGCTCAGGGAAGTCCTCACACCCTGAGTTTTCTGTGGGCCACTGCAGTGTGCTAAAACACAACAGATGTTTCTGGAAGTCCATCAAGGGACTACCCTTTCCTCCTCTTTCCAGAGGCCTGGATGCTAGCCTGCCCCCAAACATGCCGTGGTGCTTCTGGCTGTGTGAACAGGGCCCTGGAGGAAGGCAGCACCCACCACTTCTTTGTTGATCTCTCTACTGCCCAGAAGTCAAACTTAGCCACGTTCAGCAGACAAACACGCATGTACTTTTGGACAAATTTTTGGAGCCCCATCCCAAGTTTCTTCAATGACTTTGATGACAAAAGAATAGAAGTCATGCTAACATTCCATAATAGGTCCAGAGTGTGAATCAATTTGTTCTCTTTGTAACCTAGCTCTCTACCTGAAACCTTCTGTAGAACATGCCACATCCCAGCTTTACATTCCTCTCCTCCTTCACCTATGACTGTGTGGAGTCAAAGTGGGTTTTGCCTGTCAGCACCTTGTTAGTCACCCCACTCCACCAAGCACAATAGGTAAAGGAACTTTCTAGAAGAACTCTTAATCTCCTGGGGAGACCTTGAACAAGTGCAAGTGTAGCCAGTAGCGTGGGCTCTCATCGCAGGTCTTTCTTTAGAAGTTGTACCAGTCACATGACTTCACACTTGTGCTAATGAATGTTGGCTGTCAAGGCCTCACAGGAATGCCCATGCACCTTCCTAGAACCTTCTCTGTGCTGTTCCCTTCTCTCAAGTACTGAGAAATTCTGCAAACCTCGGCCTCTGAGCTCCAGGCACCATTCCTCACCTCCACACAGCTGTTAGACTCAGCTTACTCCTGATGCTGCAGAGAAAGAATCTAGGCCAAGGTCGAGCTGCCCATTTGCTCCCCTCATCTGGGGGATCACAGTCTTCTTGTTACATGTTGTTCAATGTCTTAAATGGTAGGTTTCAAGAAAGTTGTGCAATTTGCAATTTTCCAATTATGTCAGAAGGTGGGTAATTCCGGTAAGTATTCCCCAAGGCCAGGAGTAGAAGTCTTCCCTGTGGCTATTTACTAGTCCAGGACATAAGGGAACATCTTTGTTCAAACACGGCACCTTTTTGTAAGATGAACTCTGGAAAGATCTTGTAGGAAGGGTAACTGAACAGGCAGAAGCTTCACGTAGCCTTCCCTCATGGTCCCTTCCTTCCAGCCCCTCCCCTCTAGACTCCCTTCCTAGGTCAGTCCCAAGGCTCTCCATGAGTTCTCCTTTAGCAGTTGAAGAATTAACCCATGGGTGAGCAGCAAGGAAACCTTTTCAGTACAAATACAAACAAGTTTAAACCAGACAGATATCCAAGTAGGCTGTACAGCAGCTGTTAATGTTGTGGCCTCAAAGAGCTGGTAACATTTCAGTGGCTGCTACCCCAGCTCGCTTGCCCCTCCGGTCCTGTATAGTCCTCACCAGGGGCAATTTCTTATCCCCCAAGCTGTGGTCTCTGTGAACAGAGGCAGTACCTTTTCCCCGTCATCCACCCCGGCTCCATTCCTGGAGACATGGTTGTGGTCCTGAGGACAGACCTCATGCTTCTGCAGGGGACCAAGGCAGAGTCACTTTCATGGGCACTATGAGAACATTCTCTCCTTGCGGGAACTCATGCCCTGTCCATAGGGAAGCGGCACGGACTCAGTTCTTCGTTTATATGTTCACTTACCATGTGCTGATAGAGTATCTACTACGCGTGAGGCCCATTGACCATGGTTAACAGGCGTTAACAGGACCTGCCTGGCATTCTTTGCCAAAAGGCAAGAGAGAAAAGTGCGCATGTGTACAAAATTGGTCCCTGGGATTGAAGAAACTGTTCTTGTCACTGCCTTTCAGTATAACCCTTACCACCCAGGGAGAATATTATCCGTTGACAGCAAACACACAGTGATATAAAGATGCTTGATTGCGAAACACAGCAGCTCATTGTATAAAAACACAATTAAATACTTTTAAGTATTCCTCCATGGCTTCTGGTCCAGTGCCTACCTCCAGGTTCGTACCCTGACTCCTTCAATAATGAATGGGCTGTGATGTGGAAGTGTGAGCCACATAAACCCTTTCCTTTCTAAGCTGCTTTTGGTAGTGGAGCTTTAAAATGACAAATAAATCGGGTGTGGTGACACTCATCTGTAATCTCAGCTGCTCAGGGGGCCGAGGCAGGAGGATCAAAAGCTCAAGGCCTGCCTGAGTTACACAGTGAGTTCAAGGTTAACCTGAATAAGTTAGCAAGGCCTTTTCAAAATAAATATCTCAAAGGACCAGTGTACCTCAGTGACAAAGGGTTTCTGTAGCACATGCAAGACCTGAGTTCAGCCCTTCATACCACAAAGTAGTAATAATAATGGCTAATCCAAAGGAATATTTTTTAAAGCAAATAAGAGTATTTAGAATGCGAATGAGGACAAAGAAGAGATGTAGCCACATAGGAGAACGTGCAAAAAGACTATCATAAGC